ATGAAATCACATTGACAGCTATAAAGGTCAGTTGTAGAAATAGCATATTTGTGTTAGCTCAGTATCTTACCTACAGCATCTGCTATTCATTGTCATACTACTGCATTCTGAGGGAAAAAAAAATCAGATTCCTCATTTCAGCACAATACAGATGCTACTTTGGAACAAGATGCCAAGCTCAGGAGCTCACATCTTACCCACCACATTTGAAAATAGATCCTCCTACCACCAGAACAGAATCTGGAAGTGACTTGACAAGATTCCTAGGGATGCATGACGCACTGCACCTGAAATACAGAGGGAAAGTGAGCTGAAGACAACCTTCCCAGCGCTGTCAGCAAGCATCCACAAGTAAAAGGAACCTTACAGTCCTCTGAATGGTACAATCAGGCATTAATATGCAGCAAACTCTTGTGGTCAGCAATGGTTCATCAACCTTTAACTCACAGAAAATCCAACCTGAACTCTGCAAGTCCCTGCACAACACTCATGTCAAGATTCACAGGGTTTTGTCACATTTCATGAATGTCAATAACCATAACATGTTTAGGTGAAGCCCTACTGACTCTCTCAACACAGATGAATGTGCCAGGGAGAGGTAGTACTCGGAGAGTTACCCCAAAAAGATGTGCCAGTCACTGCTTGTTACTTGGAACACTGGCTTGTCAGTATAGGGTTTTTTCCCCCAGCATGGTAACAAATGTAAATTGTTTAGGACATCTCCAAAATAACATTTTTTCATCGAAACCAAATCTCATGCATACCTATGATGAACTTAAAAGATTTTCTGTTATTATTTTACACTTACATTTTTGAGAATATTTGCAGACATTTCAGAGATGTGAAATCTCTGTAAAATTACACAAATTTTACAACCAAATTGGGAGAGGTTAAATAGCTCCTCAAATGGAAAAGACATCATCAAGTTAGGTTTGTGGTCCCAAATGTGCAGTTCTCTGAGCAGTGACTGAGGTGTCTTCCTCAAAGAAGCAGGCCTGTACATTAAAAAGGGGGGAAAAAACAGCCTAGATTCCAAAGGCCCTTAGAGGACTTTGTGCTGCAACTACAGCATATGGCAATAAATCAAACATTTCCAGGTGTACCAGTTTAAAGGATATTCAATTGCCCTCATTACCACTGACCTTTTACTAACACAGAGTGCTGACCTCAGCTAGTGTTGAATAATTCCCTGCCACAGAAAACTGCTGTTGCAAAGCCAAAAGAATATTTGAGATACCTGATATAACAAAAAGATAACCAATGGCACATATATTCTTTCCAGGCATGGTTTATTGAAAACACACCAAATTGTTATCCTACATACCTGGTTTTCTAACAAGCATTCTACTTGTCTGCATTATGGAAAGATCCTATAATAATAATACATTCTGTCACGGTAACATTTGTTCCATGAAAAGCATAATCCACCTTTTTTCCTCTCCATAGTGGCAAAATCAAACCATTCTAAGTGTTTCAATTTATAGTACAGTGTAAATACAATGCAAAACCCCACCAGTCTAAACTACAGAGAGAATGTTGAGCAGTATTACAGAAAACACATTGTTGATTTATTTTTCTTTTTTATTCTCCTACCATGAAAATTTTAAGGCACATGATAGTTACAAACACATTAGCTACTAATTACCAGTAAGCTTCTTAGTCTATAGTTACTTTGTTTTTCTGAAAAGTAAGAACCAGATTGGCAGGCCTTGTAGTATCTGCACTATCTTCCTCCTCATTGCAGATGGACTTCCTAACATCCTATCCCGCTGTAAAACTTAAGATAGAATAAAAGAGATTCATAACAACTTCCCTTTAAATGCACTAGATTAGTTACTGTACCAATAAATCAGAGGATTTCTCTGACAAAGATAAGGAAACACCAGATTTTATGGGCATTAAAATGAAAACACTGCGAGAAACTATGCCTATATAAACACCTTCAGAAACTGAGAGTGTAATCCAACCCCAACAGGACAAAACTTCTGGCTGAACTTACTGGCACACTACAATTTACAGCAAGTGGGCAGCTAGACAGAAGGGACTGTAACCATATATAATGCATTCATGTGGCTTCTGAAGCTTCACTTACTCCAAGTGCTTAAAATGTGCCTCTCTCTCACGAGCAGCAGAGCCCATAAGCTCAACTTTAAGGCAAGTAACAGAAAGTAACTCACCACCTTCAAGCTAACAAAACTGCTGTAGGAGTGAAAACTGCTTTGCCCAGCATAAACTGCATGCTAGAAGTCATCACTGAAAACTATTGCTCTCAGTTGGCAGGAACTTACTAATTGGCTTTAACAAACATGCCACCCCCACCTCCTTAATGCATCACTTAACAAGTCAGTTCCTAGTCCCCAAGTCAGTCCCTTTTTGAAGTCTTGGCAAAGGAGATGAGATTTCCTTTCCTAATATGTACACTTAGAATCTGTGGGTCTGAACGCACAAGTGTAGAACCAGGACACTCAGGTGTTCTGCCCGTAAGATTTCTGGCTGCCCAAGCTGCTCCCTGGGGAACATTTCAAGCTGGCAACCATCTTTGATTTGTCAAGTTACACTTACAGCTAAATTACTTTTTAGCTCCAACACAGAATGCAAACAAAATGTCCTTACATCTTGCCTTTCTGCTGGATGCTGCACAAACAGAATCACAGAATCCCTAGAGTTGGAAGGATTGATCACTCATCCACTCAACAGCCCAATTTGATGCTTATCTGACAGTCTTGACACATAATGTTAAGTGGCCCCATCAGTGTTGTTACTTGGTTTTCCATTCTGTTTAACCTCCACAGCCTACTGAATATGCCTGGGCGGTGAGCAAACCATCTCCTGGGATGAAAGTTCAGCAGTTATTTGCCATCAGAAATCTCTTCCATCCCGTTAGCCCTTACTGGGCCATCAAATTTCTTCCTCCTCTTTATTAGGAGTCTTGCAACACCTATCTTCTCCTTCCACAACCACCCCTCCCACTTAAATTTCTGCAGGTATAAATCTCTTCTATACATCTCTGCTCTTTGCAGACAGACTGCCTCCAGTTTTCACAGTGGAACCAACAGGAAAAGAGGAGGTCACATACCTGAGCCCTAAAAAGCACTGCCTGCCTTTGAGCAGGAGCCTCTAGACCACACTGCAGCATTAGTTACACACACTGCCACTTTCCCTTCTTAACATACTGTCCCTGCTGCCAGAACAAACTCAACAATTACTGGCTTATTTACCCACATTCCAGAATTGCTCAACCAGCCCAGTCACACTTGCAGTAACGAGGAGAGATGGAGGGAAAGGTGTGGACACACATCTCACCAACGCATTCCAGACGTTAGTGTGTGGCCACAGACGAAAAGGACATAAATCACCAAACTGAGTTCAAAGTATCTTGCTAGAGATTTTGGCCTGTGAGCTGATAGTACAAGGCAACAGTCTCATATGCAAGTCATTCCCAATCCATTTTCTTTCCTAATCATCTGAACAACAGCTTGGTGAGAAGAAAAAACAATAAACATGGTAACATAAATGATGCATTATTGGTTATTGCTACATACCTAGGAATTCATTACTGTAAGGCATGGGAAGGGCAGAAGTAAGGTGTCATTTCCTAGGAGGATGTCTTGGCACGTGGACTTGGTGTTTCACCTATTATGTACTATCCTTTGCTTTTTTGTTGCAATAAACCATGTTCTCAACTGGAAGCCAAGAACACTTTATTCCAGGGAAAAGGAAGAAGAACAGTTTGCTACAACAAGCCTGGGCAGCCAATTCCATCTAACCTGACAGGGAGGTTTGCTTGACAGAGGATGCAGTATAAATATGAAAAGGTCTTCGGGGGGGGGGGAAGTTGGATAGGGGCTAAATTTGCTTCTCAAGTTTTCCTTAGTGTTTTTAGTTTGATTCACCAATGACAGAGACAAAAATAGATAGCCACACAGATGTTGAGTGTCCTTGTAGTGCCCCACTGAGAGCCATATGACACCCGGCACAGGCGGCATGGACATAACTGGCCCCAGTCACATCACTTCCCCCTTTCCTGCACTTTTCTCTTCTAACCTCTTGCTGGCTTTGAAATATTTGTACAACAACTAAATCACAAAGTCTTAGCAGAGACTCAACAGTCAGGTCTTTATTTTAAATGAACTTTTGCTCAGACTCCTTTGGTAAATATATGGTTTGAAGTAGATCAGGGACAGACTGACAGCACGGCCCTTTTCTTCAACTGTTCTAATTAGCTACAAAGCAGGTTCCATTGCTAATTACTGAACGTTTTTAAAAAAATCCTTTCATATACAAAAAGAATACACCAAGTACATAACCAAAAGTGATATAAAACGTTTCTGTGTAGCTTGGTTAAAAGGGTCTCCGCGTATTGGCAGAACAAGTATGAAAAGAGCACCATTGATATAATATACAGTCAGACTATGTATCTGGTTTCATTGCCACACTTTATGTCTACACATAGAGAGACACTGCCTCTGAAACAGATGTTGATAATCACAGATGCATCTCTGCTTCCCTTGATCTGCTGAGCATTTTTGGTCCAACAGGACTCTCATGCAGGTGAAAACCCCACAAATATTTGCTATCTTAATTTGCTCTGAGCAACTTCACCTTCTCTATGATCCAGAAGTAACTACTGCAATGTACATAGAAGATGAGGGTCAAAAGGGAGGAGGGTGAAGGAGCACATGCATCATCCAAACCACTGACAGCTTCTGGCATCAGTCTTTTTCCCTGAATCAACAAATGCTTCCCTCTCCTGCAAACTACTTTACATGGTTTTATTAACCTATCCTCTGCACAACAATATATATATAGATATATAGATTTATTTATTTATATATATGTATTCATGTCAATTTTTTAATATACTCATGAAGATAGAAAGCTCTTGGTACTTGCTTTTTTTGTGTGTTTTTCATTTTTTTTTTAATTTTTTTTTTTTTAAACAAAAACTTCAGACGTTTACTATTACAGTAATATTTTGGGTGAGGCAAGGTTTTGGATATTTCCCCTTTTTAATTACAAAGGAAATGGCAGGCACTGAAAACCCCGAATGTTTGCTAGGCTCAAAAATGTGCTTTCCAGTCACACCACTTCTAGGAGCTTATTTAGAATTAAATGTGGCAACCAAACAAAATCAGCAAAAGCCCTCTGATGCTACTGGTGAGATATTTCATTCCTCTTCTCTTCTGCCGCCCTCTCTTGACCAATGCCTGGAGAAAATCAGTGATCTAAAGTCACTTAGTTCACGGCATTATCAGATTCTGTATATGCAGCATAGTTCTCTGTTCTCATGAGGTAAAAATCCTGCCTTATCAGAGCACACCATGGCATCTAAGAGGAGAACATCTGCACGTGGATGATTTTCATACCACCAAGAACATGTAAGCTCCAAACAATATCAAGGGAACACAGAAATGATGATGATTTTAAAAATGTCTGATCTGTTCCCTTTATGACATTTTCCACCAGGATCTTCAGCCCAAAGCAAACATGGATCCAACAGTGATAAATTTACCATCAAACAGACAGACCCACCTAAACTGCAATGTATGTTCAAAATAAGACATCCTGTGAAGAAGCTTCTATTTCTTCCAATGTGTTAACAGCTACAGCAAAATAAACTGTTAATTGTCATCAATGTAACACTGATACGATTAAGATGTAAAAGCTCCTTACTGCAATCTTTGAGAATAAGAAAATAAAAAGCCAGCCAACTCCATTTCTCAGTATACATTTCTGAACCGGGGACATTAAAACCTTCATGTGGAAATAAAAGCAGAGCCATTACAGAATTCCAAAGGCAGAAGTACTGTACATCAGATTATAACGATAATATAGCACTGTGATTGATATAGCTTACTCTAAAAGCAGATTTATACAGCTTGCATCAATTTTGCTATCTACTCTCCAGTTCACTTGGCCAGCATTTAGTATTTTTTGTTCTGTATTTTCTCTTCATTGAAATTCAATAAACCCACTCAACATTCCTGCAATTCCTGTTGAAATAACGAAGAAAACCTCAGCATTTTTCAAAACCCCTTTAAAAGTGTTAGATTCACAGTTCAAAATAAATCCCCCAAAACAAAAAGAAAACCACGGGATCCAATCCATAGAAGTGCTATTATCTTCATGACTACACCTAAGGTATCGTTTCAGATCTTCTGCAGTTCACTTATGAAGCTGTCCTCTTTGCTGCTGCATGACCTTCGCTTCTCATTCTTGGCACCTTCCACATGTAAGAGTCACCGAAGAATGCAGCCAGCCGGATGGAACTTGGATTCTCTTCTCTTGCTTGCTTTACTCTTGCAGGAGTGGGAGGGAGCAGGAGGCAGCTATGTCTGGTGGGAATGTAACTGATTTAAAAAGCAAACTGTCTTGCTGTAAGGCATGGTGCTCTGGGGTTGGCAATGGCAGTCAGTTGTGTTTTCTCCCTGCATTTTCTTAGAATCCGCAGCCTTGTCAGTGATGCAGCGCCCTCCAGATCGGAATGGCAGTGGTGACTGATGAAATCCTGTGTCAATTCAATGTTTTTTTCTCCGCCTCAATTAAAAAAAAATGTGGTTGGACTCTAGGCCTGCAAAATAAAGCCAGAACTGATCAATACCAGCAAGCAACGTGGCACTGGTGATCTCCATCCCCTAGCGGTAGAACAATGAAGGGAAATCCTAATGTATCCCAGTGTATGGGTTTGTTGAAAGGTCTGACTGGGAGAAAATGATCACAGCCTGCATTCAAAGTCCCACCCATACGCATTCACTGCTAAGAAGAAGCGCGCAAGACTGGAGGTGTGCAGGCACTGCACACGTTTATCCCTGTCCTCTGGCTGAGCCAACAAGGCAGACTGCACAGCACCGACCAGCTGCATGAGGCCAACACTGCCAGGGGCTGCCCGTGGCTACACAAGGCTACCAGGGGGCTTTAAAGACTGCTCTGGCCAAGCGCTTCCAACCCAGGAAGAGAAACAACCTGCAAACACACAGCACTTGTACTAGAGCCTTAAAAGGAGGAGAAGCATTTCTGGGGAGACCTCAAAAATGAAAACCCCACACATACAAGAGCTCTCTCTCCCACTACTGCATGCGATTTCCATGCCTAATGATGAGAGTGGACAACACTCCGCTTTTTGGAATTTGAGCCTCAAAGGCCTATTGTCCACTCCAATGGCCTTTGAAACCGTTTCTTAGGTGTTCCTTCAGCCAGCCAGGGGCACAAAATGAGCTATTCCAAATGGGGCATCAAGCCTGACAGTGACGGATGGTACAACCAGGGTAGAGCACTGTCTAGCAAAACAGCGGGAGACAGATTAGCAGTAGCAGGAAATAAAGGAAGGATAGTGACATTATAAGGGGCTTGGCTCATGGCAAAGGCAGAGAGCTGTAAGGCCACTAAATGGCGCCTTTCTTTAACAGAATAAGAAAGAAATGGGAAGTGGGAGCTTGATGTTTATTGTGCAATCAAAATCACCTCCCCTTGCAAAGTAACTGTGCACAGGCTGCAGCTTTCTTGCAGATGGGCATGGCTTTGTAATTCCAGGGAACCTCAGGGGACATCCATAAACAGAGAAGGATAAGCTTTTTCTTTTAGTCTCAGGCTAATCCTTCTAATGAGTCTGAAGGGAAGAAAAAAAATCGTTGGAAGTAGAAACACACTATTTAAATTCATTCCCATGGCCTTCCAGGAGAAATATTCCACATTCTGGCTGACGGCCAATCAGTCAAGATACTACTGTGCTGTCTGGTTATTTGACAGATTATTTCTTAATCACACAGGAGTGTTTGATTGAGTTTCATTAAAGACACAATAAATAATATAAATACCACGTTTTCAAATGTATTTTCCTTTCTCTGAAAGGACTCAGTTAGCAGTTAGCCTTGTAGAGATTCCACAGCTAAACAGATCATGCAAAAGACAAGTTAATCACTAGCACCAATTACCATTAAAATGACCTACCATGCATGCAAATTAGACCCAGGAGTCAACAGGCTGGGGTTTAATGTCACGAGCATCCACCAGATTCACCGAAGCCCTGTTACTCCTGTTAATGTTTTTCCTATTTGTGTCATTCTGCAGCACAGGGTGAGGAGTTAAAAGCAAAACAGAGCGGATTAATCAAACAAAGCCACCAAACAAGTCAGCTCAAAGGAGCACAAGGGAAAATTAGTGGTGGAGAAAGAAACAAGATCAGCAAAGGCACAATACCAACAAGAGCACTTGCAGCAGCCAAAGGCTGCACTTCTCTGCCACCCTTATTCAAAATGCTTGGCCACTCTTGAGCCGCAAAGCCTTGGTTATTGAACAGTTTACAAACCAGAAGACCCCAGAGTTCTCTTTCACAGGACAGGGAAAAGGAAGAGTAGCAGCTACTCAGACTTTGCTCCAGCTGAGGACGCACCAGTGACTGTTTTTGAGGCACATAACAAGCTGAATTCAGGCAGCCCTTTATCCCCAAAACCAGGAGGTAGCATAAAGTATGGCTGGCACATAACTGAGGTATTTTTTTTCCTGTTCCTCTAAAAGCAAAGCGACTGCTGCCTGGAACGCTGGGTTGTGCTTCACCTCAGACACACACTGAGTTTGGGCTGAGGGATACGACTTTGAAAATCATGTCCATGAACTCTGAGTGCCAAAAATAACAAGTATTTGTTAACTCTTCTGCCTTAGCCTATTTTCTCTGGAAAGACATCTTCTGTCAAGCTTGTACTGATCAAAATACTCATGTCACTTCATGCATCTGTTCTCACTGCATCCTCATGATACACATTACAACTGTTATGAGGGGACAGAAAGTTTACACCTTTGATACTGGTTTGAGCTGGGCCATCTCTTGTCACTTCAGAGCAACACCGGAGGAGGGAGCACATGCTCTGAATTCAGTAATCAGGTTGTATCAGTTGCAAAAAAAAAAACAAACAACCCACAAATGAGGGAGCACAACCACCTCCAAGGGGCAAGGTGAGAGTGTGCTCTTGTGTCTTCACCAGACCCTGTCAAGCAGAAACGTACTGGGAAGGTTTAGACAGGAAGGTGATCACTGGTGGATTACTTTAATAGTGTTATCACACATCTGGACTTAGCAAAGAAGCTGCAAGATGACTAAACAGGAAAACTGTAACGGCTGCTCTCTTATCAAAGAGCTTTCTGAGTGGCAGAGGCTTCCTGAACAACCTACTGCCCTGATTTTCACTTCTAGGACTGTTCAAAAGAGAAAAGGGGTGGGAAGTGAGCTTCCCACTGAATCTAAGAGATCAGTGTTTCACATCAGCCACATTACTCCAGACCATTTAGTCAGGGCTCACTGGTTCAAAACAGGAAGCCATGTTTGGCACTGCAGAGTTGACACAGGACAACGAGCAATTACATTAAAAAGTTTCACTGGGCAGCTTCCAGCAGAATGCAACCATACCCAGAACTGGCAAATTGAAAAGGAGCGAACTGTGCTTAAAACTGCAGCTGGATTTAAGCCATTCTCCAGCATATACCTTCACAGAAAGGGAGGACACAGAAAGAAATGCATGAATTCACATAGGCGGACTGATACAGAAGGGTATCTTCCTGGTCCACAAACAGTAGAAAGATTTTTCTGCAAATCACATTTTAATTTCACTTCAATACAGTGTTTTTCTTTCAATTCACTCAAGTTTAATTGTTTCCAGTGAACACAAATCACCTGGATTTTCTGATATTATCAGCAATATGCTGAAGGTTGTTAAAGGCAGCTTTTTACAGACTAACAATGGTATTTCCTTTCACTGATTCTTGGTTCACTGAATCTTTTTTTTTCCCCTCAGAAATGACCTACCTTACAAGCTTGTTTTGAGGCCAGGGAGAAGTTATGGCCACAGCATTGTTAGAAACATCAAGCAACGTTTAAACAAAAAGATCCACTGAAAAGGCATAGCAATGAAACAGAAATTCAACAGAATCCACTAAGATACATTTGCACACAACCCTCAAGGCAAAACACTTTATGAAGAGAGATCATTGTTGTTGTTGCTGTTAAATTAGAAAATGGTCTAAATTTGTTTTTCGAAGGCACTCGGAAGCACATCTCTCCTTCCCCTCCATCTCCTTGGCTCACACCCACTGCCTGCAGTCAGGACTCCCAGTGAGTGCTGGTGAAATGCACGCTGCTCACCACACTGCCCTAGACAGATGCACAAGCTGACACGTATTTCTCGTGGTGAAAACAATAAAGCAGTGTGATGTTTTGAAGCGACTGTTCTCAGAATGAAGACTGAATACAGTTATTCACTATAGGCAAGGGAATGCTGCCTGCACAAAGATTTTCTTACAACCTCATTCATTTACAAGGACATATCAATTGCCTGCATTTACTTCTGCACTGGACAGCAGCATTTTGTTTTTATTTCTAGTTAGCCAGTGCTAGGATAGGAAACGCTGCTTTTATCCTAACATTGGGCAAGCAAAAAACAAAGACACCAAAAAAAGCCTTTGCAGCCCTCTAGTGAGTAACTGCCCTGTTCCTGCTGAGCACACCAGGCTCTGTTTCTTCCAAAGGCACTGACTAGCATTAAGCAATAAGGGGAATCTCACTTTCAAAGGTTCTTTCTCTGAGGCGTCCCCTGTGCTGTCGCTGGTCTTGTATTTGCGCTCCTTGTCCCGGCGATCGATGGTAGAGTAGCCATCTGAGGAGGAACATATGACAGTTAGGCATGGAGCACAACGAAGAGCAGAACAGAGCTGATGTGAGCAGTATTCTTCAGCAAAGAAACAGGAAAATAGACCATCAAATCCCAAAGATGCTGGCAGCCTGCCTCTCACATATGCTCCAGCTCTGAAATTTTACTTTCTCCAGTTTAAAACAGAAAAGCTCTTTTTTTTTTTTTTTTGTATCACTGCCAGATGCTGGCACTCATTAGCAAGCAGAACTGTTTTCATCCCAACCTACTGCAGTTTTGTAGTGTGCCTAAGGAAAGCAGCAAGTTGTCATCTCAAGCCCTGTGGCTAATGAGCTCCAAATTCAGCTCAAATCTTGTCTTCCTTGCTTAGCAGCCTGATTAATTGGCTGTGTTCATTCTCTGAATGCTCTGCAGCATGTTCCCACTCTTCCTGAGCCTGACTATTAACAGGACATAACAGTAATTTGAAATAGGGCCTTTCGATGCATTGAGAAAAGGAGACTGTTGAGCTGGAAGAAATCTTGATGCAAACCCCGCTGTGCCAGGACTGCCTTTCATTCCAAAGCAGCACCTGATGGTGCTTTTTCTCCTGACAACTAAGAAACAATATGAAAGCGTGATTAGCACACAGAAGAAAAGTGTGAGAGAGCATTATAAAGAAACAGCTTTATATATTTCAGAATATCCTCTGCTGTGAATCAGTCCAGCCAGCACAAACCTGGATTTCTTCTCGTGATGCATCAGATTTCCCTCATTATCAGTTACAAATAGATTGTTTCCTGCACCGTAATCTGGAGTAAATGACACTCCAATCTATATATTCCTGTAGGCTTTTGTTGTTACCTGTGTAACTGAGAGATCATTGATGTTTTCATGTTCTGACAAACCGGGCTCTTAGAAGACCACAAAAAGTTCTACCCAAAATGTGCATCTCTTGGCATATTCCTTGCTGCAAAATGTCACTAAGAAAAAAAGTTTTTCTGTGGGGTTTCCGTGGCACAAAGAGGCTCTGTTTGCCCACATGACAAAAGCAGCCAGAGTGACTTGTACCAAACACCACAGCTCTGTATGACACTTATGCTGGTCACAGTTAATTTTAAAAGAGCTCAAGTTTTCTACACGTCTCAGGAATCAAAAGTGCAGGTAGACCTGAGGTAGCACTCATAATATCATGGCTACTAACATTACTTAACCATGCTGATTAAAAATAACTAAAGAATTTGAGATACATACGAAGTACACAGATTTTAAAGCACTGCCACACAGTCACTCTGTTGACAACAAAGAAGTTAATGTTACTGGCTATTCCTTTTGGAGAAAAAAAAAAGTAAAGCCCAAAGCCTATCAGTTGCATCCAGTCACCCAGCCAGAATTTGTGGAGGAATGCATAATCAAACATTCTCCTCAGAATGTCCAGCATGAATCTTACTAGTTAAGTTATATATTAAAGATTCATCATTCAGTTAGGAGTACATCGCTCCTAAATACAGGTACATACACGAATGATGGAAGCATGCTGACTCACAGTAATTTAGCACTCAACTCAGAGGCAGCTCTTCACAGTCAAATTTGTTATACTCACAACGGTGTAACGGATCACTCTGCATTTCTTTACTAATATCAAGGGTGATCCCAAAACATTTTAAAATCAATTGCTAAGACATAAAGGGAAACCTTTAGCCCACCCCCAGAAAGCAACAGCCATTAAGATGAAGTATGGCAGCTTTAGCATTTCCCAGGTAACAAGGTTAGAATAAAGACATCAATAATGAGAAGCTTAAGAGCATGGCAGTTCTTCAGTACTAAAAGCAACAACAAAGTAAAACCCCACGCTCAACAGAAATCTCACAAAGACTGGGCAAAAAATTCCAAGGTTTTGAAGTTTGTTCTGTCAGCTGTGTGCCCTGCATGCTAACGGTGTCGCACACATCAGCACCAATGGAGACGAGCTTCTGAAAACCAGGCACTGTGCTACAACTCGGTCAAGACATGCGGCAGCAGAGATCAGAAGATCACGACTGGACCTAATAAGATGAGTAATGTCTTGAAGAAGGCTGCATCAGAAAAGCAATACCTCCGTCCCTAAGGATCACACCTCTCCAGGACCAGTGAGTGCTTCTCTCATCTTCCAGACTGATCCTGAGCAAGTTTTATCAAAATTAACTCTGCTTCTGGGGCATGAAGGAGACCTATGCTTTTCTTACTGCTCCAAGGTATAAATGCATTATTCTCAGATAATATAATCTAGTTTATAGACAAAGTTATGTTGGTCAGTAGAGGCACTTAGCATTCTTAGCTTGTTTATTCCTCTCACCTCTCACCTTTCTCCTCATCGTCTCTATTGCTTTACCAAGTATCTGCCATTCATTCTGCAGCAACATTCTTATGTCATCACAAATGTCATGACCAAATGCCTTCTGAGTGTCAATCCATCTGTGCTCTCACACAGCTCTCAACTTATAAAGACCCACAAAGAAGGAAGGGAAGAAAAAGGAGAAGTTATGCCTAAAGACATGCAGGTATGAGAGGAACTTCTGAACTATTTTTCTTTTCAACAATTCTCAGCTCTCTAATGATATTGGCAGATTGACTGCATCTCAGCTGAGGCACAAGTACAGTTTTGGAGGACTCAGATTTGGCACACAGCCTTGAGATCACAGTTCTGCCACTCCTGCAGTCGCTCGGGGTCACAGCCACCCTGAGGCAGCACTGCGACAGTAAGCATCGCTGATCTTCAGATGACGCTGTGCAGAATCTCCTGCCCAGAGCTGATCAAGTCTGCCAGACCAGAGCTATCTCTGCACAAGGCTGTCTACTGCATCCCACAGTAACTTATCACACACGTTTTTCCATTTCCCAAGGTAACCAAGCTCAGCCCAGGTGCTCTCATTGCCCCACACAACGGGAAGCTGACTGGTCCAGTACTGTCAGTCAATGTGGAACACATCCTTCTTTATCTCCAGCCATTAATGATGAATTAATTTCCCTTACTGAGAAGAACAACAGTAAGCATCAGCTAACAAACTGAGATAACAACTGCATGCTGCTTTTTGCAGTCTTGGTAAAGAGGCAACATCAGTATAGCAGTAAAGGGCCAGGCAGTCCTCCAGAATGGAACAATATCCACCTTGAGGTTAAAACCAGAACACTTATCCTAGACAGCTTCTCCTGTAAGAATGCGCATGAGATACGTAACGCGTAGCATTCAGAAGAGCATGAAGGCAAGAGATGAAGTATTTTTATTCTGATTTCCTAAAACTAAGGATAGTATATTGGACAAATTCATGCACTCCCTTCTCAACTGATCTCTGAAACCACAGAAAGTTAAGCCATATTGGAGATGAAAGTACTCAGGAGATGGGATCAGGAAAACTTCAGATTTCATCTTCTAACAGCACTGAAAGAATCGCAGAACAGAATGGCTCAGGCCATCTGCCTGATATCATATATATGCAGTTAATTTGCATTTCTCTTGGTACTGAGATATACACCAGTAACTCCTGAAAGCACGAGGAAACAATTAATCCTGAGACTATAAACATTCAGCACGGCCCAGAGTGCAGCACCTGCTTGCAGGCAGTTACACTGCCATGCAATCTTCTCTGGAGTTACTTTCTTCCACTGCGAGAACAAGTGCTTTAGTGTTCCCTTAGGCTAAATACATACTGACAGGTGGACTGAGGACAGGTGGTACCTCATTTTCTAAGAATACAAAAGGTAATCAGTATCTGTTATTCACCTTGTTTCTAACTTAATAATTTTTCAGCTACGATCACAAATGGCAGTATATCAAAGAGTTTGATTTCAAGGCATTAATATGAGTATCTTAAAAAGTAGTACTGGAAATTAAATCAAATTCCCAAGAGAGCAGGCAGTGCCTTTATCTGCCTGAGCAAAGCAAAAACCCACAATTCTGTAAGTCAGGAATTGCAGTTTATCAGTCTCAAAGCACGTCACTGACAGTAGCTGTAAGTTCTCCATCTGAAGGACAAGTCTGGCTCAGTCAGATGAAGGTAAATGAAAAGTAATGTCAGGAATACTGCATGTACCAACATTTGTATGTTACCTACAGAAAACAGAGGCAGAACAGATTTAAGCTCACTTTGAAGCAACTTTTCAACTTTATCCTGTTTCCAAATTGTAACACTGAATGCAGCTGCCTCAAGGGGACAGAGGCTCGAATGAAAATTTCTGTGCTATGCTTAAAGTAGTGGATAAATTAGTGTGCACACTGTACGTGCATTAAAGACAAAGGGAAAGAAAGGAAAAAAATGGCAACAGCCAACCTTTTGAAGGGTAACATTCTGCTTTTAAATGTCAACTTTATCCATCTGAGAGAGTATGACTCAAAGGAAAGTTGAACTTTCCTGTAAGTGAAAGTGTGTGCTCTACTGAAACAGACACAAGGTTTGGTCTATGACTGAATTTACCTGGGCCAAGCTCATCCATAGGTATCATATCACGACTCCCAGTTTTCTCATTATCTGTAAGACAGAAGCATGGAATAACTGTAACTGTTCAAGTTACATCTGCTTTTCTCAACACCTGGTACTTTTAAATTAGTCTCAGAACCAGAGAGGTCCTTAAAGTACTGGATTCAGACCTGGAGAAAAACTTTCAGCTGCCATCCCTTCAGAAAGGAAAATATAATTTAAGCTTTCCAGACAACACATGAAATCCTTATTTTCTGCTTTGGACTAACCTCCATTTAACAAGCTTCTCTTAAGTTCCACCTTACAACTATCCCAAATTCTCCCAGATTATTTTAACTGATTCTGCTGTTTTCTCAACTTGCTCGCAGTATTGGCAGTGCACATTTTGCAAGAGAAGGAAAACTACAGACTATCATCTCGTTACTGTGAGTTAAAAAGCACTGTACAAATAATACATATCCACTTCCCATAACACTGTTGTGGCAAATTCAGCAAACAAGCAAAACACATACAGAAAGTGGGAACTAGCAGAACCGACCTTGGCTCTTATCCACCAGCGGCAAAGTGCTGTCATCATAGCCAGACCTGCCAGCAGCAGCCTTGGAACTCTTTGGCGTTGCAGAAACAGACTTCAAAACAAAAATCAGGTAAATATGAAACTGCTGTTCTGGGAAATCAAACAAGTAAACGTGTGAAGTAAGATCACATATTGGTTCTAAATCCACTCCTGTTACAGCACGGCAGAGGAGTTATTTTTAATCTTATTTTCATACAGATTTGTTAGTGGAATTTTTTTTTTTTTTGTGTTATCTACACCACTGCTCTGTTGGTCTGTAAAAGGAGCTCAGCCTTGTCAGAAGAGAAGGTAAGGAGGCTGCACATCCAGAACTGGTGACTGCCTGGGCTGCTGCCTGAAATAAAGTTCATATGAGAAAAAACACAGTTGACAAAAGGCATGCTAAGTCTCCCTTGAGCAAAGCACATGCACTCGGCCTACACAACTTCCAATAACTAAAAAGCTACATTTCATAGACCAGTGAAAAACTTATCCATGAAGTGCATGATGTTACAACTGAACAGGTTACAATATTTTTCCATTACCTCAAAGACCAGAATTAAAGCGTGTTCCCTACCAGACACCAATACTGCACTAAGTGAGGCACCTTCCAGTCAGCTGATTTCCATAACTACTAACTAAACCTAAGACCCAGCATTCTTACCTGGAAGTGTGATTTGTTCCAGCCATCTTTCTGCAGAGCATTTCGTAACTCCTTGTAGCTCCAGATCATCTGAAGAACGTGAGACGCTGCTTTTGTTTCTCGAGGAGACTGGCTGATTTGCAAAATAAAATTACAATGTTAAATATCAAGCAATATAGGACTATCCATATGCCAACTTCTCTGCACCAAAACAATAACCAGGAGGTACCTACTACTTCACAGAGCTATCCATTGGCTTATCAGTTTTAAGATGTATGTAAAACAATTCAGTGACTTCTTCACATGTACAGGTATCTGCTGACAAAAGAACCCAAGAAGTCAAAATGTGCAGATTTTTGTGTTTTCATACTGCCTTCGTGGGCAAGCACGGACACCAGGGTGCTCTTTTCATTTTGTAGTTGTCACTAATAGAAAGCAGATGGATTTCATTCTGCTTGGATTTGTTTACAGAAAGAAAAGAAACACAACAGACACACACGAGGTCTGAGCTGCCTTTAGCCAAAACAATTACTGCACCTCCTTAAACGCTTTATTTAAAACACATCAATGGCAATCCTTGAAAGGATTGGTGACATATTCTAAGATGTCATGCTCTAACAGGCTTTCACTCAATTTCTTTTTTTTTAAAGTTACAAATCTACCAAGAGGGTGACTTTTTATTGTGCATGTATTTGTTTAGCTACACTTCTGAAAGGCCAGAATAGCTTCGGAAAGCAAAAAACTACTGTGCATTGTGGTATTTTCAAGTGAGATTTTATACATTTTGCTTTCACCTGTTCCCTCACCTTGACTTGCTGATTGCCACCAGCTTCTGAATGCCCTGTGTCTGGATCAGAGATCTTGCATTTTCTGAGCTGTCAGTAATGATTTCGTGGATTGTATTCAATACAGCAACCACTGTATCCTCTTCCAGGTTCTTTGCAGATCTCTGCTGCCTGCTAGGCAAATTTCTAACCAGCTCACTCATGGCATAACTACCTGGAAAAGTGGAAGAGATACCACTGGTCAGCCCTAGTAATCCTTTCAGCTTCCCATCCTGAATGAAAAGTTCAAGGGTGCTTGCCAGGTTAAAACAATTAATAATGCAAGTGTTTTGAACATCATGACTGTGACTTTATGGTGCTTTTATCATTTATTATTTCAAGATGACTAAGAGTTGATATCCAAAACAGAACTCCTTCATCATGAATATTAAAAGGCTAAGAGGGGAAAAAAAGCACATTTTATTATGATTTTACAGCCAGCATCTATCATACTTCACAATGCCTGAGGCAAAAAGCATCCAGTAGCTGCTGCTACCGCCACATATTCATGCTGATACACGCACATGGTTTACTCAGTGTAGCCTTCCAATAGGCCTTCTGGGGCAAGATGTGCAGCCACGCATCTATTAACCTTCTTCCAACAAAGGTAAGAGCATTTCCTCCTGGGTGCAGTTAGCCTTCACATCATATGGTACTGGAGAAAAACCAAGGAGCTGGGAGTTTATCACTCCCACGTGTGTGTCTGCACCATTCACCTAGCTACACCTCTGAACTACTAAAAGAGAAACCTGATGTGTTAGGGCAGAATTCCACCTGGCCACTTGTTAGTATCAACCTGGATGATGGCCCTGAACAAGTGCTGAATACTTCCTGGTCTGACAAGTCACAGTTTAAACAGACATCAGTTAAATACAGAGGCATCCAGAGGAAAACTCAACTGACAGCTGAACCTTTCTGATTACATGCACACAAATATGTATTTACCCCACTGGAAAAGAGCTAGTGAGCACTGCTGAAAAACTAATGTAAAGACTATGTCTCTGGTAAGTTGTTTAGTATCCGGCTTCCACAGTACCTGCCACAGGAAGGAGGTCATGATGGAAAAAAAAGGAAAAACTTCAGACTTTCCTTCATGACCCCAAACAAGCTCAGCCACTCTGATCTCAACAGTGGGCCTAAGGAGGAACACGGCTGTCAGCAACCTCTGCATGTGACCAGTAGCACGCTCCGTGCCAGCTAGAGCTAAGAGGCAAGCAGTCTGCTAACCCACCCAGCAAAAATCTGTATTTTAGTCCTTAGGAATCTCTCTTAAACCATGGCCTGTTTAAGTGGACTGGAAATACATTCTGAGATGACAACCTTTCACTTGGTGGCTACACAGAATAATCTTGGAGAGCAGTGACAGAAACTGCATACAAAACGAATCCTCAGACAGCTGACAAAAAGGAGATGTCTCTCAAAAGCATCCAAGATTCCAGCCTGCTAAGAAAAGTTCTGAAGATACCTATAAGGTCTTTATTGCGGCGATCCATGGAAAGGTTTCTCAAAGCAATTGACACAGCTCTCACAACCTTGTCAGAGTCGGACTGGAGTAGCTCCACAAGCACTGGCAAACCTCTCTCTTTCCGCACTGTTGCACGAATGTATGTGGACCACTGAACAAAACAAGGAAAAAAGAAACAACACAAAATATCGTGAGCTCATATACCCACTCTTTCTTGCCTTTGGCATTTCTTTCAGTGCTGCAATTCTTTTTTTTCTCCCGTGAACACCAGTTAAGATGTGTACGCTGATGCATCTGAAACAACCTATCAGTCACGTTCATCAAGCACCAAAGAGAAAACGATGTGGAGGTTCAGCCTGCAGCTTAGTAAGCTGATGGAGAAAGAGGACAGAAACGGAAGGAATTCCATTTGCCAGCCAGCATCTGTTCTGTACACATCACAGTGTGAAAACACATTCCCCTGGATTAGGAAAAATAGGTCATTTGCAGGGAACAGTAAGGCATCCAAAGCATGTTATCTTCTTCCACCTTCAATTTTGTGCTATTTTACTCTGTTTCATGATTGATTTTAAAATAGGTATTCAAGACAGTTGCAAAACACCATCCTGCTGATCTTCAGGCTTCTGCTCGCTCCAGGTTTGCCACACAGCTCTAGAAATGATCAGGTATTGAGCATTAGCTGATTAGTAGTAGGGCTGGCTCAGAGAGAAAATCAGAGGACACTTCATAGTACAATTTCTGACAGCCTAATGAATTAAGCATTCACAACAGGACCATCTAACAATGAGCTTTTCTGAAGGGACGTGGCAACAGTTAAGTAGTTTAAGTAGTAAAACCAGCTCCTGGTTAAATTGCCATGAGCTCAGTGACATTTGCACATAAACACCATCTGTTCAGAAGATGCAAAGCATCTTAAGTGGGCAAATGAATTGGAAATAATTTCTTCACCTTCTTCCTTCTTAAAGGGCACAAGGTAACAGTGCAGTTACAATGGATGTAGCTCTGTTCTTTACTTGCATTAAGTAATGACTAAAGACAAGATTGCACTCACAGTCCAGTTGCCAGCGCTGAGATTCTGCAAAGCCCCTGCTGCAGCTTCCAGAGTGTTAAAGTTCTGACTTTCGGTGAGGATGGAAAGGTACAGTCGGACCACATCTGGTTGGTACAGTAATTCAAAGCCTGCAGGTGGGGAAGAGGACAATGGAAGTAAAAAGAGAAAAGTAGAGAAGGCATGTATGAACAAACACAGAACATACCTTTATTTAATCACATCAGAGAGCAGCCGAGAGAAAGCTGTGCTACGGCAAGAAGGGTTTCTGCCATATTCAGAATATTTCATTCACTCCTGTGAACGCAGTGCACATGGGAACTCACCTACAGGACATTCAGCTAGACTGAAGGTCCCTTTGATTGCTGGTTAAGTTGATCATTCTTTCTGAAATCTGTGCTATGCTATGTAACTGTCTAGCAGGTTGAGTACACGTAGTACACATAGTAACAAGGTGGCATGAGACAATGACAGAACAATTCTTATTTTGCATCTGTAGACTGTAACTTCAACTTGCACTCCTTTTACTTTTTTCATTCAAACTGTCTCAGACATCAACAAACAGGTCACAGAGAGCAAGCTGCAATCCCATCATCCACCCCCTTCTCACACCTACGTAAGGAAAGAAAGATGTCAGAATGACTAGAATTCTCAACTGGTAGGAGAGGGAGAAATACTGCCTCCAGTTCAAATACTAGGTAAAGAAGTACACCAGCATTGCATTACACGGGGAGACTGCAACAGACACATAACATCTCAGTATCCCCAGAGTCACTGCTGCAGCTTCGCAATTTAGGCACGTCAGGAATGGGAACTATTCCAGCTCTGCCATGCACTTCCTTTTGTGACGCTGAGTAACTGACAGTAGCATCCGTGTCTCAATTTCCTCATCTCCAAAGATTAGGGTTTATCCATCTAACCACAGTACGTGGGGCACTGCTTTACACAAGGACTGAAGTGGCAGTTCCACGTTAGTAACAAATTGTGGATATTTTCAAGCAATCCTACCTGCCTTTTGTCATTAAGTGCCTCACAACACTGAATTGATGAAGGAGGAATATGCAAGCAGCCAGTTAGAGCACTTCCCCATCACATAGGATCCAGGAGATTGTAGTGTTGTTTAGAAAATTTCAACAACAAATAACTTCCCTAGAATTGCTTTGGTGAGTGCAGGAAAGCACAAACCACCTACAGGTAACAGAGACACAGCTACAGCTACAGTGACTGCAGCTGTAAGACATTTCTGAACTGATGGCTTTTGGGGAGTTTGCAATTAGCAGGTGTTACTTGTGAAAACATTTACGGAAAAAAGAATGGCATGAAAGCAAGTATGAAGGTATGGACGAGCTTGAGGAAGCAGGAAATGTGAAGCCTGTCCTTAATAGAAGACTTTTTTTTTGTATGTACAGACAAAAAGAATGTTTCTCACATAACAAGATGCTGTCCCACGAGTGTAGCATAACTCAAAGCAAGTTTTCCACTAGTAAGACAGGAAACCTACAAACAGAAATCACGCCCTCTCTTCAATACTTTCTCTTCACAAATCACCCCCTATTCAAATACGTACTTTTATCATATTTCAGACATCTCAAATCAAACCCAGAAGCAAGAGAACTGAAAAATGCTATTCTATCAAATGGATATACTGGCAGAAACTTCCTTTTAGAAATCCTCTGTCACTGAAGAGGATTAAAAGCGTTCTAAAATGAAAGCCTTACATTCTAGCTCTGCTTTTCCCTATTTTTCATCATAGTTATTGCTGTGGCACTATGTTAGCCATGATCTCTCAAAACCCTAAACCTCATTTAATATTAACCTAATATTAATTAATTAACTAATATTAACCTCATCTAATGTTAACATAAGGCCACGTTAACGCTCTTGGATGTACAGGGCTTATTTATCCCTCTGAAGACACACTTTATCAGCCCAGGCTTTCTTTGCTCCACACCAGAAAACTGATCAGTGCCCAAGCATCCACGAGCTCCGTGCTGCCTTACACATTCCCTGTCCAGCCTCCTCACATGCATTCCAGCATGCAGCCATGCTTTTTGAACTGCTGGATTGTTAACCTGCTCCAGACTGCTTTTACTGCCACCACTTGCCTGTTATGTGACACCTACAGATAAGTGCAAGCTGCAACAGGTGGCAATCCCCAAAGGCATCCTGCCAATCCATAGCACTTTCTCCCCTCTTCCCTGCTGTCCTCTCCTTGCACTGGGATCACTGCCCCCTGTATTGAATGCTTAGAAAAACTCCAGTTATGTAATACATGAAGCATGAACAGCTGTACAGCTCTTCTCTGTTCCGTGAAGAAGTGTGACTATCTGACTCCAGTATGACCTCCACATCACCTCTCTCCTCTGCTGCTTCACAAGGTGAATTGGCAATCCCAGGACTCCTCAAGAAAAAGCACTGCTGCCTGCTAAGTGCATAGTGTTACTTTCCTGAACACTAACACTTAACAAATCTCTTAGGATAGCTTACCAGAATTTGGAAGCTGTGTTACCTTTCACAGAAGCTTAGCTGAAGCATGAATCAGATATGCAAAAAGCTGAAAGTAGGTTCATTAATTTTCAGAGAAAACTCATGCAGAACATGTATTGCGTCTGTACTTGAGCTCAGAGTAGCCTGCCATTGAGCAGAGTGCAATTCTGTACTCAGTCTTCTGATGGCTTTGTTCTAAATTGCCTGGCCATAACTACAGCATACTTGGCAACTGCCTCACAAGTTGCCCTCTCCTTTGATTTAAGTGCAGTCTAAAATTTACCCTTTCTGTTCCCTTTTGGTTAGACATCCTTCCTTCCTTCCTTCCTTCTCAGGGTATGAATGCTGAGAAGCACACAGAAGCAATAACCCTCTCACCTCCACTTACCTCCTGCAGACAGAGCTGTATTCCAGTCAAGCACCTCTTGCTCCCTTTTTGTCATTACTTCCCTTCATGCATGGAAGCCTCTCCTTTTTCCTACTTACTAATGTTAGAGCATCTCAAAAACGTCCCCATACTGTTCAATAACACATAGCATTTCTTCTACCAATCACCAACGCGTTTCTGCTTTGGGCTGCAATCCCTCAGCTGCCTGGTGAGCAATTCTCACTTCATTCCATATGACCCCATTTTCCAGCTGTATTTATGCTGCCCTGTTAACATCTGTTTTAAAAGGAGTTAATAAATGCTACACACCATATATGAGACCTTCTCCTCCCTCATGTCACTCCCCACCTTGGGGACCTCCACCTGCTGCACGCTGCCAGCACTGCATATAATCTGTGCTAGCAAACTGCACGCAGGGGTTGCTAAACCAAAGTGTTAGGAATGACTCTCATGGACAACTGCTCATGAGCAGAGATGAGGACCTAACAGCAATAAAGTTACATCTCCACCAGAGCGTTTCTCCCTCATTGACAGCAAGCTGACACTTTTCATAAGCATTATACTCCCCTAAAAAGAAACAAACAAGTTTTGTATTTTCTCCATCTATCTCCTTTCCTAATGAGTCCAGCTCTGCTATTTATAGGATGCTATTTGTCTGAGTTATTATAAATTCCCTTCCAGCATTGCATGGAGGCCTTGCACATCTTTCTGCAAAGCGCTTCAAGCACGTTCCTGGGAAGCACAGCTGTCTCACCTCCATTAAGCACCTGCTTCTCTTCTAAACTGATTTCCTTAATTTCAGGATCATCTTAATTATTTTTTTCAGGTAATGCTGCCTTTGTGCAATCTATAGCTAACTGCTTATATCCCCCCCCTCTTTTTTTTTTTTTGAAGAAAATGAGGGTCATTAGCAATAGGTAATATATCAAATGAGAAAAACAGTACATGCTTTTCTTTTTCTTTAAAAAAAAACTGTTATGCTTATAGCCCAGATTCAGCACTGCCCTACCAAAGATCATTTCTCCCAGAATAAATGAGACCTTTTCCTTAGGTTACAGACTTGTGCTGAGTTGCAGTCTATACTGTTTCCTTCTGGAAAAGCATGGGGATAAATCTTTTATTTCTCTCCCCTCCCCCAACTCCATTGTAAAATGCAAAGCAAACCATTTGGCTATATTAGCTTTTTCCTTTTAGATAAATGGAAAATGCCTCGGACACTGATGTCACTGTGTCAGGCCTATTACAACATCTAAGCATTCTCCCCAGCTGCTGGCATAAATGTGTATACAAAGAAAGGTCTTCCACTTTAAACTCACCTTCACCAACACACAACCTTACGACAAAAGGAAGACGAGCTTCTCTGCATCCAAGTTGTTCAAAATGGGCAATGGGATTAATTCTGTGCCATGCTCACCCTACCAAGTGCTGCCAACTGGAGCATCCTTTGTTTGCCCACAGAACACCAACAGCACAGACAGCAATTTTAATCCTGAACGTAAAAAACCTGAGGAATGAACTGAAGATCCAAACCAGCCCATTCAGCTCTCAGCCACACGCAGCAGCTCCTGGATCACCTCATCCACAAATTTACGTGCTTTCATTTTAGCATTTAGTGATGACATTGTGCCTATATACTTGACTACATTCTGGCAATAACAAACTATCTCATCAGGTTCCTCTCTCTGATATACCAGTTTAATCCCACATTGAGACATCTCTCTTTGGAGCAAAGTTGCTAAGCCTAATTCCCTTTACAACTCACACAATTTAGGATTTATTATCACCCTACAGGCACAGGAAACTATACACGTACATATACTGGTCAGATTAAGTCCTACTGCTGGAGCAGACGCGATGCTTTATTTTTTATTCTTCTAAAATCTCTGGCTTGCTGTTTCAAACAAGAGATTGTCATATGAGTTAGAAGGACACAGGGAGCACTGTAGGAAATAGAAAACAAAACAAAAAACCTTAGTTGCCGAGGAAAAAAAAACCCTAAAGTCACTTAAATGAACTCTGACAATTACTTGTCCTTGCAGTATTTACTGAGATGTTTACATTACTGTTTTAATTCAGACCACTTTCGGAGCAAATTTCCCAACTGCCCGTACTCACTGCGCCTTAGTTCCCAACACACAGCACTTGCAGCACCATCTGGACACATCCTGGGATGAAACTAAACCAACAGATGCACTCCAGGACCACATCGAGGGTGTGCTAACAAGGAATGCGAGCAAGTTCAAGAGCTGCTTGCTG